AGAATGAACAGGTGGGTAAAGCTGTGCTTACATGTTGGTGTTGACAATAAAAAAAAAACTTTTTCCACGCCTTATTGTTGATTTTGTGCAAATGGCAACAGTACAAGACAGATGGTGGCGTACAGCCATTTGAATGTTGCCATGGTGATGAAAAATGGAAGATGATCAAAAAGAGCTTTGATAATCTCTATTATTTCTTTGAAGTCTCTACTGTTCACTCTATTATTTATTAAGATACAGTTTACAAATTGCAACATTTACACTGGAGGACATCTTTTCTACATTTTTTAAAAGGGGTGGCCTGGCTTCCAAGTGAGAAGGCCCAGGCCCCACCAAGGCCCCTCTCCATTGCTACTGGTGCAGTGTACGAACATAACACCTAGTGCCTTAATTGAGACCTATGCTGTGATTCTCCTTATTTGTTTGTGACTTTTACTTGTGAATGGAATGTAGGCCGGAGCACTGAAATGTCCCTCATCCAAATAACGTGTCCTCCGAGGCTCGACACGGTGCATTGGGACAGTTTCACGGTGCCCTGATTCACCTTCGTGCACATAAACTGATTTTGGTTTGATCACTCTGGTCAGCTGCTAATGGCCCAGCTCTGTGGTTTGATTGCCCCGGTCCCAAACTGATGACACTTTTGTGAGATTGATTAGTTCTGTCCGACTCATTAAAGCCTGAATAAGATTGCTCTGGTCTGTTGTTAATGAGACGGGTCTGAGTTCTATTGCTCTTGTCTGGCCAAATAATGACCCGGCTCAGAGTTTGATTGCAGCAGTCTGGCAGTGATGATTCATGCAGTAATAGCTACTCATGCAGAAGAGCACATGACTCCTCTCATACCACCACAGTGTAATGTGATTTGGCTGCTCTGTAGGATGGAAATGGACTGTATAACGTTTCCCTCTTTCTGTCTCTACCCAAACTGGCTGCCAAGCCACGTCTGCGTGTGTGCGTATGTGTGCATTTGCCTGTCTGTCTAAATGTCTGCCCATCTGTCTGTCTGTCTGTCTATTTTTGTCTGTCTATGGGAGCCGTCTGGTGTGTTTATGTGCATCTGTGTATGCGTGCTTTCATGTACTAGAGAATAAATGTGCAGAACAGTTTTTTTATTTCTCCATAAAAGTGACCATAAGCAAGAACATTCATGCAAAGAGGAACTTGTAATTCTCAGTTTGTTACGCACTAATGGCTTTTTTATTGGGGAATGTTGCTTTTGGCACAAGAGGGCGCTTCATTTTCCCGTTTTTCAGTTAAACGCTCACAGAATTCAATTTGAACTCCCCTGACTCATCTAATCGACACCTTCAAGGGACACCCGGCCAAATTAAAGCAGTACTTCAGTGTCTTTCAATCTGATCTCTATTAGCTGCATACAGTTAGTTACAACAGCCAATATTCTCATCATGCTTCACCTGTACATTAAGGGACAGAAAACCTGTTCACTCGAAACACACATCTAATAGAATTCAGTGGGCAGTAGGTTCAATGTAGGTATGTTACGAGTCAATGGGTTTTCTGTCCTTTTGTAAATACAGGGTAATTATTATCTTTGGTGTAGCAGATAATGACTGTTTCCTACATAGGTGCACTGCAGTGCAAGTCATCCCTCTGAATGTGCATTTCTGTTCAGTTGTAATTTTCAAATATGCAGTACCGTGCAAAAGTCAGTAACCCTTCATTTATTTTCTGTCAAAATGGCTAATAAGTACAAGTTATCCATTTTTTAGCCTCTGTAACAAAACAGAAAGCATATATTTAACGGAAAATTACACAGAAGCCTCAAAAATAAAATATAATTTCATTTTTTCAGCACTTTGTGTGTCCACACTGTCTTTTTTTCACAGCTTCCATTCTTTTCCGGAGACTCACTCTTAGAGTGAGACTCTTTTTTTCAAAGAGTTTAGTCTTAGAAGTTGGTTTCATTTTCTGCTTCTCACCATCCAAATAATCCCACACACATTCCATGATGTTGAGTACTGATGTCTGGGGTGAAAGTAAAAAATGTAATGGTCGTTTTGACTGGAAATGAAATGACTGAAGGGTGTTCTTACTTTTGCACAGTGCAGTGTACAATGATCTAATCAATACATTCAACTCAGACACTGTAGACCAATTCCGGAAGTGATGCATTTTCCACACACTGGAAATGATGTATAATTAAAGCCTTTTAAACAGAACAGTTAAACTGGAAGTGATGCCACAGAGCCTTTAAGACCAGCAGTCCAGGCTAGTCTTCCTATAATGGCACTAAAGGCCCAGAAAAAGGCCAGATATGCCCCGCCCCTAATTTGTCTCTTAATGTTTGATTTGCATTCTAGATCACAGCCTCATTATCATCCAGCATGTTGAGTAGCCAAACAAACATCACTGTAAATATTGTACATCTATCAAATTGCACTCCTTGTCAAAAAATAGCTACTGCAGGAGGGAGAATACACTACATGCCACATGTCTAACACTGTTGATTTGTTTACACTAACATCAAATCTGACCTGAAACTTATCAAAAGTCAAAAATATATAAATCTCAACATAAACAGACTTACTTTTAATTGGATTGTCAGCATTCTGTCCTGTTTTACGTGACAGACTCTAGAGTCTAGGAATGAAGTAACCTGGAAATTGTTGAAGATCTCACACATCTCACAGGGTGTTCTTAAAGGGGAATTCCACCAACCTTTCAAAATTGTTAAGTTGGTATAGAGTTAATGAGTAAGAGTGGTATAATATGAAGTGCTAAAAAGTCCTAAAACTGTTTACATACTGAATTGTTCACAGTGGTGGTGATAGGAACCAGACGTCTAAAGTATTTAAGGCCTCTAATAGCTACATCACATAAAGTTGCTACATGTAACTGTTGGCGTATAACATATTTTTCGAAAGCCATTCATGGCGGAGAGATACAGTCAAATGCAAATGTTTGAAATGTGTTCACTTATTTTCTCTTAGAAAAACAACCAAACATGTCATTTGACCAAGGATGCCCAAACTTTTGCATAGGATTGTATATGCAGGGTGTTGTAAGAGACATATAGGTTCACTGATCATTTAGAAAAGTAAATAAAATAACTACATTGTCGTTGCAGACATTGAGAGCCCTGGTTCCTATGACAGCCATTGTAAGTTTCTCAACAATTAACCATTTCATATCAAACCACGCTGAATGACTTTGTTTACATCTCAACAACTGAATTATGCAGAAATTTAGAAAAATGTATGGATTTCCCCTTTAGTCCCATATAGGTTTTAGCAGGGTTATTATTCATCTAGAGTCTGGAGATAATCACTGTTGTTTTATGTAAATGTTATAGATTGTAAGGCTGACATTAATTAGTTTGGTGTGATAGATTAGTTATGGAACTAAACTCTGCTTGAGTGGTTGGACAGAGAGAAGCATTGTGGGTTGAGGGTTTTCTTTTATGACTATGATAACATCTCAAAAAGTGTTTCTTTCAGGACTGGAGCATAATAAACAAGCCTGGACTCATTTATAATCATACAAATGGACGTTCATTTTAATGAACAAAAGGTTCACAAACTTGTTCTCACAAGATACTAAACACTACATTAGACTATCTTACATATAATATGATATCTGCATTCCAAAGTTTGAAATAATTGTCATACTAATAATCACTTTTCTTTTTCAATAATAAGTTACATACATCACAGACTGAAGTACTATAAACTAGACAGAATTGTATATTTTATGATGTTTTATTTAATGTTTCAAGTCTGAGAATAACAAGAAGTTGTTAAATTATGAATAATATACTAATAATTAATATACTAATTAATTGACCATCTCTTTTCAAATACAAGGCATTCTTAGTGCTACTTTTATTATTACTTTATTCTCAATGTTATACAGTTTCTAAATCATTATGGAATCATCTACAACTCTGTTCATCATTCTGGACACACATTAAACTTCTTAATGATTTCCTAAGAAGTTATACAGCAGTAACTTATAAATAGAATAATTGTATACAGTACTGCACAAATAATAATAATATTAAAAATAATAATAATAATCATCATTATTATATGTTATTATTATTATTATTATTATTATTACTATTGCACAATGCTATACATGTAACTGCAACAAAATTGGATTTATGTTAATGAAAACAGAGAAACTGAACTTTTGAAAGGTTGTGTATAATATATTATTGTTAATACTATAAAGTATTAAATAATATACAATATACAAAATAATATTATTCTATAATATATTATACTATGTAATATAGTATGCCTATGATACAAAAAACCCTATATACATATTACTAAGGATTACAATTATATATAAATTATTAAGGAATAAATCCAATTCTAGGTTGCTTTATTGGCACGAAAATATTTGCACTTGAATGTCAAAGCTTTGTTTAATGTGTATAATGTGTATATGTACTTTAATGTACTACTCTATTTATATAATAGTCTGTTCTATTCTGTTCATTTTTATATATATATATATATATGTGTGTGTGTGTGTGTGTGTGTGTGTGTGTGTGTATGTACACACATACACATAAGTAGTATAGTAAACTTGGTTTTGAACCACGTGTTAACATTAATACACATATGTTGGAAAACAATCATATATTGATAATAATAATAACAATAACAATAATAACAATATTAATAATAATTACAGGAATAAATGGGCACTTACTATAATAATAATAACTACAATAATAATTATTATTTAATAGTATATAATTAAAAAAGTAAAAATCCAATTTGTGCCAGAGACATAAACTAACAACTAACAAGTCCAATTACTGCTGTTAGTGTGTGTGTAAGTGTGTCTGTGTGTGTGTGTGTGTGTGTGTGTGTGTGTGTGTGTGTGTGTGAGAGAGCGAGAGAGAGAGAGAGAGAGAGTTTGTGTGTGTGTGTGTGTGTGTGTGTGTGTGTGTGTGTGTGAGAGAGAGAGAGAGAGAGAGAGTTTGTGTGTGTGTGTGTGAGAGAGAGAGAGAGAGAGAGAGAGAGAGAGAGAGAGAGCGCCATCTGGGTGCGCGATTCGTATTTTTCAAGATCTTTGGCTCGTGGAAGCGACAGAGCGCGAGCGAGAGAGAGAGAGAGTGAGTGAGAGAGTTTTGTTCACTTTCATCCTCCGATTGGCTGGCAGCAGGACCGCGTGCTGCTCTGCTCTCCTCTCTCAGTGTTTCACCGCATGGATTTCTGAGCTCTCTCGTTTCCTCTCCTGGAGGTGTCTCTCCGTCTCGGTTCACATGGGACTTGTCCTTCCAGGTTGTTTCTGGAACAAAAGCCTCTCTTCGTGCCTCATGCTCGGCGCCAGGGCTTCGTAGCTGAGGGCTCTTCGCCATGGCCGAGCCGGGAGCAGTTTCCGACGCTTTGGCGGCTCCGCTGCTCGAGTTTACCGCCGAGGCTGCGTCTCCTGGCCGGGATGCGGCTCGCCGGGGCTGCCAGGGCCACGGCGCCGAGGGGCTCTTCTCCAACGGCGGCTACAAGGAGCTCAGCAGCCCCGGGGTGGGCAGCCGGAGTCGAGACACGTCCGCCGAGAGGAACCAGCCGAGTGGGAACCCACCCTGTGGGATTATGAAGGTTAGTCAGCTGCTTCTCACTGTCTGTCTGTTCAACTGAGATGCAGTAACGTAACGTAACGTTACCTCCTCAGACTCGCTGTCTTTACCTGAGATGCAGTAATTAACTCAGAGGCTACTGTCACTGTTTTAAACTGAGATGTCATCGCTCAGAAGCTGTGGTCACCGTGTTTAACTCACATGCAACAACTCTGTGGTCACTGTATTTCTACCTGAGATGCAGTAGAAGCCATAGTCAGTGTTTTACCTGTGATGCAGTACCTGAGAGGCTAGAGTCAGTCTGAGATGCCATAGCACAGAGACGAGTCACTGTCTTATTAACTGAGAGGCAGTAACTCCGATGCCTTAGTCACTGTGTTGTAACTGAGATTTAGTAGGTTAGAGGCTTTAGTCACTGACTACGTGAGATGCAGTCGAAGCTGTAATTATTGTGTTTTGCCTGAGATACAGTAATTAGCTCAGAGGCTACTGTAACTGGTTTTAAACTGAGATGTCATCAGGCGCTTTGGTCACTGTGTTTAACTGAGATGCAGGAACTCAGAGGCTGTAGTCACGGTGTTTTTACCTGTGATGCAGTACATAAGAGGCCAGAGTCAGAGTCAACATATGTATCTCTATAGCACAGAGACAAGTCACTGTTATTACTCTTATTACTCTATATACTCTTATTACTGAGAGGCAGTAACTCTGATGCTTTAGTCACTGTTTTAACTGAGATGTAGTAGCCTTAGAGGCTTTAGTCACTGACTACTTGAGATGCAGCAGAAGCTGTGATCATTGTGTTTTACCTGGGATGTAGTAGAGGCTATGGTCAGTCCTTTACCTGAGATGCAGTAATAAGCTCAGAAGGTACTGTAACTGTTTTTAAACTGAAATATCATCGCTCAGAAGCTGTGGTCACTGTGTTTGACTGAAATGCAAAGACTCTGAGGCTGTAGTCACTGTATTTCTACCTGAGATACAGTAGAAGCTATGATCATTGTGTTTAACTGAGATGCAGTAGATGCTAATGTCAGTCTCTTTGCCTGAAATACATTAGAGGCTATAGTTAGTCTTTTTACCTGAGATACAGTACATTAGAGGCAATAACTCGGATGCTTTAGTCACTGTGTTTTAACTGAGATGTAGTAGAAGCCATAGTCAGTGTTTTTATCTGAGATGCAGTACATTAGAGGTTAGAGTCAGTCTTTAACTGAGATGCCATAGCACAGAGACGAGTCACTGTCTTGTTAACTGAGAGGCAATAACTCAGATGCTGTAGTCACTGCGTTTTAGCTGAGGTGTAGTAGCTTAGAGGCTTTAGTCACTGCCTTTTATGTGAGATGCAGTAGAAGCTGTGCTCATTGTGTTTTACTTGAGATGCAGTAGAGGCTATGGTCAGTCTTTGTACCTGAGATGCAGTAGAGGCTATGGTCAGTCTTTGTACCTGAGATACAGTAGAGGCTATGGTCAGTCTTTGTACCTGAGATGCAGTAGAGGCTATGGTCAGTCTTTGTAACTGAGATGCAGTAGAGGCTATGGTCAGTCTTTGTACCCGAGATGCAGTAGAGGCTATGGTCAGTCTTTGTACCTGAGATGCAGTATAGGTTATGGTCAGTCTTTATAGTGGTGGCTATAGGAATCAGAGGTCCCAAAGTCTACCATGCAAATATAGCCATTTTATTTACTATCCAAAACCACATCAGAGTTTATACACCGATCAAGCAATTACAGATTGTATGGACCCTCACAGAGCAGGTTCTATTTGGGTGGTGGATCATTCTCAGCACTGCAGTAACACTGATGTGGTGGTGGTGTGTTGTGCTAGTACGAGTGGATCAGACACAGCCGTGCTGCATGGGGGTCCTGACCACTGAAGAACAGGGTAAAAGGGGGCTAACAAAGTATGCAGAAAAACAGATGGACTACAGTCTGTAATTGTAGAACTACAAAGTGCACCTATATAGTAAGTGGAGCTGATAAAATGGACAATGAGGGTAGAAACAAGGAGGTGGTCATAATGTTATGCCTGATTGGTGTATATGTAATGTTGATGATGGTAAAATAATGGTCAGTCTGAGAAATAAGTTTTCTTGGGGACTTTTTTGCCTTAGGACATCCTTCTTGTATTCCTCCGCCATGAATGGATTAAAATACATTGATTAAAATACGTTTTAGACCAAAACTTTGTCACACAACTGCTGTAAAACTGCGACATATCAGGCAGCATATTCATAACCATTTCATGTAATAGCTTTCTGTGAAGGAGCTTTTAGAGGTGGACGTCTGGTTCCTATCAGTACCACTGTGAACAATTCTGTCTTGGTAAGTTTCTCTAGAATGGAGCATTTCACAGCAAACCACTCTGAATGACTTTGTTGACATGTTAACATTTTAATCATGCAGAAATTGTGAAAAATTGGTAGAATTCCCCTTTAACTGAAGAGCAGTCTATGGCCTTTTGTACTACTGAGATGCATTATTTCATAACTAAGATGCAGTAGTCACTGTCCATTTATCTGATATGCAGTAGCTTGGATTGCCATTACTAACTTAAACGCAGTGAGTTGAATGCTAGAGTCACTGTTTTTATAGTTGTTGCACTGAGGTGCAGTAATTGACTCTAGACAATAGTTACCGTTATTTTATGTGGGATGTAGCAGCTTAAAGGCCAGCCACTGTCCTTTTAACTGAGATGCAGTGCCATAGAGAGTATGGTCACTTTGTACCTGAGATGCAGCAGAGGCTGTAGTCCCTGTGTTACTTTAGAATACATCAGCTCAGAGGCTGTAGGTAGGCCACTGTCCTATTATCTCAAATGCTGTAATGTTGTAGTCATTATTTGGTGCATAGTGTAGTGCAGCAATTAGCTCAGAGGCTACAGTCACTTTTTAACCTGATATGCATTAGGCTCAGAGGCAGTATATAGAGTCTTTTAAACTAAGGTGGGAAAAGAAATGCCTGAATCCCTGCAGCAGTAGCTAACTCAGTAAACCTGCAGCCTTGCCGAGCAGCAGGTCATCAGCGTCCATGAAGCCTGACACATGCATTTCAGTGGAGTGAGCTGTGACTAGGCAGGTGCTGCAACGCTCAAAATCATATCTCATTTTATCATGTCGTCTTCATGAGCACTTTCCGCTCACAACGGCTGCTTTCTTATTCCCTGGCGGAGGAGAGATTGATATACATCTGATCACTGCTACAATCTGACGTAAGCTCAGAATACAGTAGTGATGCTTATCTCAGTTCTACCACTGCACTCTGTGGCATAGCATAAAACTTTGTTGTGCCTGATACCAAAATACATTGTATTTGAAAACAAGTTCACTTTATAATCTATATACAAAGTGAAGAAGGTTAAAACTCTAAAGATGGAGTAATTATGTGTAGTCATGACATAGCTAAATCAGACATGACAATTACTGTAAACTTCTACGTTATATTAGCAGATTTCCAGTGTTATGTAACATTAGGAGTCTTGCCCAAGGATTGGTATAGCAATCGAGCTGTTCCTGTCTCAATTAGGAATTGAACCGTGTAGTTGTATGTGGAGCAGTGGTGATATTCACTATGCTGTCCATTTGAATGAGTTAAAATGAGTAAAAATGCCTTGCACTAGTTTCTACATGTGCATCAGTGCGTGCTCGAGACAGTAATAATTACATTTTCGCATTTATAGGCAAATAGTATGTCAGCCACTGGTACATTGTGCACCCCAAAGAGACATGGCATAATAGGGAATAACACCTATGCCTTCTCTACGAGCATGAGAGTAGCTTCCTGCAGAGATTGTAGTTTGTGACTGGTAGCTGTAGACTGTGACCTTAGGTTAGCTTGTTCAAAGGGTGACTGTTGTCACTTTCTTTGCATGTTTTTAAAATCACTTGTCCAGCAGATGCCATGTAAACTGACATGGCTTTAAATGAAAGGTGAAAAGAGATCTGAAATGGACCAATGGATCAATCAGTTTGATCGATCAGTTGACCCATGGCTTAAGAACTGAGTGACGCAGGAGCTTTGTTGCTAAACTAATTAAGATGGCCGGGATTGGGTAGACAGAAATTAATCATCGGTCACTATTGGAACACACACACACACACACACACACACACACACACACACACACACACGCACACACACACACACACACAGGATAGAATATCCAAATTGCTTTCACTCTCTCATGCTCACTCACCCCTGTGTCACACGCACAGTCACCATTAGCATCCGGCTCTGTTACCACTCAGAGAGAGAGAGGGAGAGAGACATAGAGCAAAAGGGACATGTACAGTCATATGTGAAAGATTGAACCCCCTCAGTCCAATTACATTTATAAATGAATTTTCTAGTTTGAAATAAGTACACTTCTCCTGTACAGGGAACTTGCAACATTTAGTGCACAATTTCTGTTTATTTGAGTTTAACACACATAACACATGAATAATGCCATAACTTTTAGCCACAAGCCACATTTTCTGTTGTATTTTTTCCCAATATGTTAAATTCAGCAAATAAATGGAAATTATGCATTAAAATGTACAGAAGTGTGTTCTCTGCAGAGCATGTGTTAACTCATTTTCACTTAGAAAATCAACAAAATATAACTCCATGTAACTCTCTATATAGACACATGTATGAGGAAACACAAGTGTTCTTCAAGCCCTTGAAATGCACCCTGGTCCGTGATTCACAGTGAGAAATAACATTAGTAATTGACTGGTAAGTGTGTATATATTAGGTCCCGGCTAATGTTCTGGTCAGCTGATAATATTGGCCAACATTGACGACCCACAGGTTCATCAGTATCGGCAAAAGGATTGCCAGTCATGCCCTGATAATTACAGATTTTGCAATCTTGCAACCAGCCAAAAGGACTAATCTTAAAACAATTGGGGCTCTGAGGAACTCAATGTGACTGACCCAGTGTTTAACATCATTACAGCAATACAATATAAACTGGTAAATTTGAACACAGTCACGGGTCGAACAATAAAAACATGTAAAATATATCGAAACTTAAAC